ATTCATGCGTGATGAGAAGGATCCATCGAGATTTGTATTTCCGTCACAAAAGATTGATGGTGATTGTAGAACAGCCATAGGAGAACAGGTAGGCAACAGCTGGTGGAGGGGAAGGGAGTGCTCATGTGGATGTGCAGTGGAACCATGACAAAGTGTGGGATGTGAAAATTATTGTAATCACGTCAAGAAGAGCTGTATGGCCCTCTTCGTTAATGGAGAAGCACTCATTTCAACTTACTGTGTTCCGGTTGATCTACTACTCTCTTTCAGAACCGTTTGTCCTTCTCATACTTAGGACCCGTGCCTTTTACCCTTCAACTTTTAGACCATGGGCATCCTTTTTAAGAAGGGGGCTAGTTAAAGGCACCATATAGCAGGGGTCTAGCTTCTACGCAGTTGGGATCCAAGTGAAAAGCGCCCTGGCGTGGAACAATATTTTTTACACGGGTTGTCAATCATCAGTGCTGGTCTATGCCGGCGCTCTGACGGATCGCCTTTAATGGGCTCAGCACTCCACAAAGGACGTGAGCTAAGACCGTGTGGATAGTTCTATGAACTCAAGCTTCACGACTTGCCCAGCTGCATTCCCTTTAGTAATTTTGGATCTATTCTGAAGGACACCTCCGATTGTAATAGTCAACGAAGGAACACCAAGAGCGATGATCCTTTGAACTGGTTCTCACGGTGTAATCGCGATTCATACGCACGCACGTGTGACTGCACTGATCACCTTTCGACTTTTAGTAATTCTTAATAACTTTCAAACATAATATTCGCAATCTTCAGGTTTTATTTGAAGTTCACATCTTCACATCTTCTTCTGTTTTCCTTTTGAATCTTCCAAATCAGGAGACCAGTGTATTCAGTACCGTATTCAATATAAATGTCCGTATTTTAGGGACAGGCAGCTGATGTCATTTCGAGGATGGATTGTGTTGTTTTGCGCGCTACATGTGACCCATTCCTCTTCACTGATTGATAGAATATGCAAAATCAACAGGTCTTTCAATGGCTGTGCCTCGCGGACCAAGGAAAGGAACAACGGTGATTTTTTATGAGTAATGGTTCTTTGAGCACCCACTTAGATTTCCATGCTTTTACGAGTATTTCAACTTCACTTCACTTCATTGTGCAGAAGGGGGAGGAGCGTTTCTTTTCTTGGCGCAGGTTATGTATGTAGTTTAGTTCAATTGCTCGCAGGATTCAGATTGAGCAGCATTCGGAACAGCCAGCCATAGCTCTTAGTTTAGAAATCAGTTTTGTTTAGAAACGCGACCCAAGTGGATTCGTGCGGATGAACTGTCGGATGAGGACCAGAAGTTTCTAAGACTGGCTCGGCAAACGGGAGACGATCCAGTAAGGGAGGGCTCGGCCCTTTTTGCTTTCACTCATTACAAAGGTTCTCAGAAATCATTGTATTCATCAAGAATGACATTTCAGTCTTGCAAAACCTTGAAACCGGATGCGATAAGTGCTGCGCTTTCACACCGCCACTGGGCTCCGCAAGCTTTCGAAGAGACAAAGGTGGATTGACCTCCACTAAATATCGCGCTTCTGTCGCTAGATATTCTAGGCTAATTGTATCTATTATAAATTTGGTTTATTCAGGAGTTCGTGTGACGCTTTGACTGGAAACGTGTCCTGAAACACTCAAAACAAATTTGTTCACCCATTTAACGTAGGTTTGCCATGAAATCTGTTCAGCTACTAAAACTAACAACAAGAGGCTGTGTGATGCAATGCCTAAGTGGCCCGGTACCCCTTTCTCCTCTATTTAGCAGTACCAGCCAAAAATCAGTAGATTTATCGCGTACTTCGCAGGGTTGGGGTGCATTCCGCGTTCGGATTGATAGGGTGGTCATGTGTGGGTCGAATAATAGACGATATTTGGGGGTATTATGCGCCACCAGCAATAGAGAAGTAGCAAGATTGATCGAGCCAGTGGATAAAAAATGTTGTTTATATATGTTTCTCTCCCTTAATTCTCATTTTGATTTACCTCATATATTTGTATATTTCTGTATCTCTCTCGCTTGAGTTTGTCGATTATTGACGTGCTATTCTGTGTATTTCTTGTCCACGTTTATTCTTATTTGGTTTTGTTTCCTGAACAGGGTGAATGGGACGGCGAAATCTCATCCTTCTTACTCAGGGTGCAGTGGATGTCGAAGCTTTTTGGCTGTTCTCGGTTTTCTCGATTTTTTTTCAACGTCGGTGGACCAATTACCACATACACCCACTCAACCGCCTAATGTTTGAAGGGGTAGGTGCAATGGTCAAGATGCTGAGCACATCACTGAAAGTCTTCTGTAGGAGTGGGAGGGGATCGGGTTCTAGTTTGGACACCACTTCTGGACTTGTCTGAGAAATTCTCCGAAATAGACGAACTTTTGCACTGCGCGTTCCCTACATTATACTGACCTTGCAGCTATCCAATGACTTTTGATCTCGAAGGAATAACTCTGTAATGTGAGGCGCTTGGTAGGCTAAATCCCAGATAAAACGTCATTTATAAGATCTCGCGTTTCAGTGAACTCAAAATCGACTTCTCAGCGTACTGCAAGAAATCGAGGGAACGTTTCCAGTACGTCTGCCCAAAGCCGTTCCGATTCAAAACCTATGCAGAACAGGTGAGTGAACAGATCATGGTTAAAATGCCTCAGGAGTAATCAAAGATTTACTTGAAGGAATGATATACTTTCTGACGACTGACCTAAAACTCAACCAAAAACTCACAACTTAAGAGACTCGGTTTGCGGAGTGAGCGACATTTGAGCAAATCGCTATCAGTCCCATACCACTTTTACAGTGTTAATCAGAAAACTTGCACTTTCCTCTGCGAAAAGGTGCCATAAAGTTTTTGACGAGTACTCTAGTCAAAACCGACCCGTACCCCTCGTGGAATAAAACAGGCGAACCTTCACGTTTTAGGCAGTCGACTTTTGCATTCGATATAAAGAGCGGTGCCCAGGGACGAGTCTGCCTGACGAGCCAGTGCCATTCAAAAAAGAGGTGAGCTACTTTTATATGAAGCCGGGTTTTGCCATGTGGATCGATGGTTTCGAGTACCGCGGCTCGCAAGGCTATGTTGGAAGGTGCATGGCCGTACAGTTCGGATCACATTATCCCAAGTACTTGTGTACTTTCTCTTCGAAGGCATAATTAGGTTAGCGTAGTGTTGCAATTTGCTGAGAAGAAGCGCGAGTGGAAAACGCCCAAAAGAGCAAAGTGGATTGCAATCCAACACGAATCTTTTGGAGCTGCACTTCGGAAAACTCGCCCAGCACGCTCTATGGCCATCCAAAGGGGCGCCCTACTAGAAAAAAGAGGACCCTACCCTTCTTCCGGTGCATTTTGCGGTTATTTTTGAATTTTCTGCCTTAAGATCACTTTCAGTACACTTTACTCCACCTCCACGATAAAGACAGTGATCACGATGGCTGAAGGGTGGTGACTTTCAATGACGTAGTTCGCGCACTGAACCCCTCAACGCGCTAGGGATGGGATCGTAGCGGCCATCCACCACTCGTACCGCAACTCCTTTATGGTCGAGCGCATATGTCGCAGCAACTTGGACGTAGGGCATTATAGCAATAGTTGTGACTGAAATAGCAATAGGTGGCTTTGATTTCAGGACGAGTCTCACATCTACATCAGAGAGATTCAGTCGGCATGCAAGAATATGTACCGCGGAGCACGAACGTACTGCTTTCATCCGGAACTTCTCAAATACCCAAAATATGCGATCCCATGTGCTCTCTACAAGATGACGTGCGTTGATGTTTACAACAAAGTCATCTACGGATGAACCAGGTGATTTCCAAAAGCATGGGAGTCTGGACGGCTTCTTCTTTCAATATCACACCTTATCCTTCGTGTTTTTCTCAGACTGCAGGGGTAACTTAGGTTCCACTCTGTATTGTTGTCACTGATCGGTCATAAACTCCTGTTAGAGAGATTGACGTAAAG